AAAGGACTGCATAAGAAAAAGGAAACCTACTAATAGTTTCTATTCAGCTCTTCCAATTCCATGACTCATGGGTTTACCGCTGATTTATACTTCCATAGAATAATGGAGCACACAGTAAGTTACACAGACATGAGGAAATGGAGAGTATAATGGAAGCAAATTAATGAAAATCAATAGTTTCGAAGACTAAACTACACTGATAATAAAGCTCATGGGGTTTACAGAATTAGACAGATTTCACTGTTTCATATAAGAAAATTAGACAACACTTCCAATGCAGTGTTCTTTCAAGTGTGTAGTTTAAAAGATTACCTTCCTAGTTTAATTAAACTTGTAATAAATAACAATGAATAATTATTAATGATATTGCAGGCACACCAGCAAGGGAGAAAATGTGCCTTGATTAGGACTTCTAAGGTCCCCTCTCAATCCCTCATACAAAGAGTAGAGAGGCAAAGCAAGACCTACCCCATACACCAGGTTTTACCTGGTAACCTAACAGAGGCAGACAATGAGTTTGGACAACGTCTCTTCAACATTAGATGTGGAATTCTTCTCAGCTAGTTTTAGACATCAAGTCCCAATAAGCCATTCCCATCTTCCTTTATAATCAGTGAAAGGAAGAACTGGCCCTTGGGAAGACAATTCAGCATGTATCAGACATGTCTTAGACCCTCCAAAGGACTGCCTGTATTATTCCGTTTCTCCTCACTGTCTACAGAGGCAGCCGAACATCACTGACTCAGACTTGAGACCAACTCTTCCCTGGCATCCCAGGTATAGACATCTAACATTTCTCTTCCCCTTCCTTCCTCAAGCAATGTTGGCTAAGGCTCTGTAGCCTCAGCTTCTTGGCACCACTGAAGGAAAGCCACGTTCCAGACATGGAGCTAAACACAAGCATCATCAACTTCAATGACTTCCAGAGAGGGCAAAGCAAATACACAAAAGACTGTTCCTCAAAAAAAAAAAAAAAAAAAAAAAAAAAAAAAAAAAAAAAAAAAAAAAAGGATTCCGTGCCAGTCTCAGTTACTTTATGTAGTAGCACCTATTTTTGTAAGGCAGAGTAAATAACCCAAGCTGCAGACACAATGCATAGCAGTAACTCTCCTGTCCAATGTATGGGAGGCTATGCTATTGTTGCAAGAACTTCCACATAAACCTAACTGCATCTTCATGGGAAAAGTCCCACTGGCTTAATACTACTAATTATTTGCAATGTTGAGCTGAAAACTATGCTATTAAGAATTTGATTTAAAACTGCATCAGCTGCATACCCTTCTCAATACCCTCACTATCCAGACAGCAACTTTTGTAAAAGTGAAAGCTATACGTTAGTATGAAAAACTAATAGCCTGGCTCTATAAACACTTAAGCAGGTATTTTAGCAGAACATCCTGCATCCTGAAAATTAAAACATATGCAAATGTTTGAAGAAATAAAGTCTCAAGTTGTTGTTTTGGCTTCTTTTTCTCTGTTAAAGTACTGTCATTCAAAAGAATAACTGATTCTTAACAAAAAAGATAGTTCTACAACTTCACAATAGCATCCAATACACTGACAACAAACAACTTTTCATACTCAAGTACCTAAGCTGGGACAAGGGCTCAGGACACTTCATACCATGCAGTCTCCCATACAGGACTCTGCAAGTCATGCAGAGGCAAAGATCCAGTGACATCAAAATCAGAGCTGGCACTTGAGCTTAAAAAATTTCAAATTGCTGAGGCACAGCAGCAATTTCTGCCCTGTGTTCCTTCTTGGGACTCAAAGACTTCAAAACGTCAACATCAGAAACAGGAAAAGCTGAGATAAAGTCTCTTGAAAACCCTGATGAGATTTCAGAAGTAAAACATCTTTAAACACACTGCCCATGAAAGACAAAGAACCCAGGGTGAGGTAGTGCTTCACACACCTTCTAAGACCCTTAGGACCATCATCCACTCCCCCCTTTCCCTACCACCTAACCCCTTCCCCCATGAATTCTAATTATACTTTCTTCATGAACTCTTCTAAAGACCTGAATTAAAAGGTAGGACTTAATCTACCTTACTCATAACAAAATAGCAAAGAAAATACTTCCAAGAAACACTTACCTAATTTTTTACTTATGTTACACTATTACCAGCCTTCTAAGAAGCAAATTTTCAAAATGTGGAGATTTACACTTGAAATCCCTTATTCCCTCTGTGTAGTAAGAGATAGACTACCTATACACAGATCTGAAAGAACAGACTATATTAACACCCTGCTATGAGGAGAAACAAACAAAAAAAATCCAAAATACACTTACCATCCTCACTGCATCAAATATATAGCACAAGAGATCAAACACACCAGTACCAAATTCATAATATGGTTTGTCCTGCTGCCCTCCTAGCCACAAAGAAAATTCATTGTCAAATACTTAACCAATTTAGCCTAATTTTCTGACTCTATAGGTGGAAGGTAGAAGAGAGAAGTTGAGCTATTCAAGGAAGTCTAATGCCTCAAATACATTCAGAAGCTTTAAAGGATGACTTAAAAATAACTAGTATACTTTACATTAGACTCATATGCTAGTTTCTTGCCTATTTTAAGCATACAGTCTCCTCATTCCCAATTCTCCGTTCAGACATTAAAAAAAAAAAAGCCACAAACCAAACTTAGATGCATGCCTCTAATAGTACAGCCCTCCAGCAAAGTATTTTAGGCTTGATTCCAACTTTACCAGGAGCAGAGATTCACAGCAGAGACAATCAGCACTTTGGGGTTATCTGATTCATTTTACAGCTCCTTGAAAAACTGAAGTCAAGCTACATGATTACGAAGAGAAAACAAGGGGAAAATGAAAAGGTGTCTGCCTAGCACAGGATATAATACAAGAAGAAATGAGTATTAGAAAGATGCAACAAATAATTATTCACAGCACTTTCCTCACTTAGGTAAAGACGAATCAAGAAGTGCTATGTCACACTAACTAAATCATTCACTACCTAAACGAAAAAATAAAAAAAACCCCACTACTCAGCTATAATGGTGAAATGTCACTACATGTCTTTCTTCAGCCAAAATAATTACTAATTATCCTCCGAATAACCGTTATGACCTGCTTTGTAATTAAACTCAAAAGTTTTAAATTTACTTAATATAATCATGTTTTTATTTGAAGTACTGAAGCTGCTACTCCAATTTTACTGCCCGTTTTTAATGTTTGCAATTCAATTTAGCGCTCAGTTATTTACCTACCAATATTTTTCATGAGAGAGGAAAAGAGGACTTCAGGGGCAGATAATTTGTTTTCAGACATTTCTACAAGTATTACTCTTCCTCCTCCCCTCCCTGGTTTACATTACAAGTTTCCTGAATATTCCTTAAGGCTGTACAGTTACCACCAAGTTATTTTGTCCTTGAAGACATTCACAGCATTTCTCTTCCATTAGCACACAAATACATACATTTTATCTTCAGCTAAACATCTTTCACAAAATTGTGTGAACTACCTTAACAGTATTCTGCAAGTACAGTCCAAGTTCACAATAATCAACAATAAATTCAAATTACCCTGACTGGAATCATGCAAAATGTGACTAGCTTTGCGGTATGGGAGGGCCTTTGATGTTCAAGTCAAATACTCTATACTCTTCAAATTGTTCAACAACAACAATAATCAACTCTATTGTTTTCATGAATAGGCCCTGTGAAAATGAGTCCACCTGCATCATGGATTGTACCTGTTTTTAAATGACAGGGCACAAAACAATGTGTGAGCGGTCCTACTGAAAATTTGAAGTTTGCAGACTCATGAAATTAAGATGGATAGTAAAATGAAAGCACATAAGTTATCTGAAAAACTATATAACTAAAAAAAAAAGGCATTTTGCCTAAATATTTTACAGATGTTGAAGTTACAATCATTACAGGGCAAAGGTTTAAGAGAAAACTCAGCTCATAACTTCTTACTACACATGTTCAAAATCTATCATACAAGTGAAGACAGGATCTAGTATTAGCCTGATAATCTGATTTAATAGTAAACAAATCAGAACAAAGCCCAAAACTTACTGAATCACCTAGAGCTATCTCGTATGGAGAGATTACCCATCTGGCAATTTTTTCCATTTTAAAACCAGACAAGACCTTTTGCAAGACCCAACAAAAGCACAATACAAGATAACATGCAGGGAGGCAACATGCACGCAAAAGTCAGTAGTTTTCCACCGCCATTAGATCATCCAAAGAACATTAAGGGTGTGATTTTTTGCTAGTACTGCGTTCCTGCACAGAGCCTGGCACGCATCGTCTCCCGACTTTCAGCTCGCACATACGAGCGATCAGTACACAACGGGAAGCAGAGAACCAGCCTATCTGCCAACAAGAAACACGGGAAAGAGTTGAAGGGCTTCTGGATACTTCAAACTCCACTAGTTACACCGTTCAGCACCTGCAGCGATCCATTAGATTCTGCAGAGGCACCCTTCTTACGCAGAAGAGCGTAGTGTTTTGTTAAAAGCAAGTTTCAAAAGGACAGATAGGAGAAACTTGCATAAAACCGGGCAGAGTTTCTCTCCCGCTAACCCGTACAAAAGGCAGCTGCACACGCGCTACGTGGAATCGGCACAAATTTGAGGCGAAGCGAATGCGTTACAGGTAACAAACAGGGAGGGGACCAGCCCAAACTAGAACCTCCTCCGGGAGATAAGCCTTTTTTTATTTTTTTTTTTCTCTTTATTCCCCCCCGTTTGCTTCCTAGTGACGACGGCAGCGAGCAATTCTTGCCAAATTCCCGGAGAGCGGGACCCACCGTGACGGCAAGCCTTCCCACCGCGCTGGGAAAAGCGGGCACAGACTTCCAGCGGGTGGAAATCAAGCCCCGCGGCGAGACCTTCCAGCGGGTTTCCCCGCCACCTCGCGTGTCCCCCGTGTCCCCCCCCCCCCCCACGGGCGC